ACAGAAGAAATTGTCATAGCCAAGTTACTATAAATAGCACCACTTTTCGACACCCATGGTCCGCACTGGATTTTTGGCACGAGGTATGAATGGAAAGATAAAGTAGCAGTTAATTTTGTTAACGTTTATGATTTTCCGTTATCATTGTTCACCGGTCCCATGGACCAACGGGAAGATAAAATACTGGTTATCGGAAACTCTGAAATGCGTGAAAACTAGCCGGTATAAATGACAGTTTTCGAAAGAAAGTATGTAAAATAGTAAGGTATAAAGAGATAAGCCTCATAACTTTTTATATTGAGTATAAATGTAATTGATGGTTAAGAAATTTCGAGTAGTGGGTGAAAAAAGGGAAGGCACGATATTAAACTACACCGGTAACTCTTTTTGAAAAGAGATACAGAATACCACCTGTTTCTTGATTATCACGTTGTACTTTTAAACTCGATTAAACCTTGACGCTGTTTATTGTTGGGCGTGCAGTTTGTAAACTCGCCGGCTACCCGTTCTATGTTACGTAGCAAAACTCTGTATACCAGTACATTTATACTTAAAGAAGTACTCCATTTTACAAACTTTTCATGACATAATAAATTCTCAGATGGAATAAAAATATAGCCGGCGCAACGGGCCAAGTAGCCGGGGAAACCCCTGTTAAATAATTAAACACTCTGTTCATCTCTTGACAACGTCCGGGAAAATAAACGCCTTGTCTAAAAACTAAACCCCTTTCAAATCTAAATGGTAGTGTTCATTTCTAAAAAACATCCCGAGAAACTGGACGGTCATAAAGCAGATGATCGTTGTCAAAAGTAAACATTGTTTCTTAATCTACATGGTTGCACAAACTGGGCGGGTTTTGGTGAATCTTGACGCCATTTAACACATTCTTGACGGCAATCTATTTGCTGGATACGTGTATTAAATTCTTGACGATAAGCAAATAAAATCACACGTTCTCATATTGACTTAACCCCTTTTTATAGGCCCCCATTTTCATGTAGACGTATATTGTCGTCGCCCATGTTTTTCCCTCCGTCCGTCCACAATTTTTATCCGATTTCAACGAAACTTGAAATATACCTTGTATCTCCCTAAGATCTCGGTTCCTTTCGATATTGGCATGTATCGGACCATAACTTCATGGATTTTTATGGCCCCTGATTGTACGAAAAATCGCGTTTTTATACGCCCACATTTTCATGTGGACGTATATTGTCGTCGCCCCTGCCCGTCCGGACGTCCACAATTTGTTTGTGGACACTCTACAGGTCACAATTCTTATCCGATTTTGACGAAACTTTAAATATAGGTTTATCTCCAAAAGATCACGACAGTTTTCGATATTGGCATGTATCGGATCGAAACTTCATGGATTATGGCCCCTGTTTGTACAAAAAATCACGTTTTTAGCTTGTGGACCCTATCACTATACGACTGGTACCGTGGAATCTCGGGTAAATAGCGTTGTTATCTAATCTATGTAGAATTATTCATAAATATCATTGAATTTGGCCTAATAGCATTCAATTTGTCCTTGTATACAACTTAAATCTCAACGTGCAATTTTGATTACCAAGCGTTAATTAACTAGTGTTTAGTTTGTCGACATGTGTGTAATTATAAGCGTCCCGCTTAATTTTCACGACTGTTCAATAATTAGTTGGACAGTTCAATTTCCCGAGTTGTGATTAAAATTAGTCAAGGTGTCCAATTACGCCAGGAATTCAATTCTGTTGCCGAACATCCAATTTCACATGCGTTGTTCAGATTTTAACGAAATGTTTATATTGAAGGAGTTGTAATATAGTAATGCTGCTGTGAAAACGTGTACATGTATAATGTACAGGCCGGTTTGAATAACAACAAAATGAGTTCGGTAATCTCGGGAAAACATTTACCGGCATTCTGTATCGGTTAGGATTTTTTTCTAACGCACTGTACATGCATATAACGTCGGCCAAAATGTATGCAACAATGAAGAACTTGCAATTTTTTTACAATGTATCATTACATCTTCGTCTATAACTTGGATGTAATCCATCAATTATTGGCTGCTATAAAATCCAAACTTTAAATTATATACGTCATACGATGAGCTTGCAGCTTCAGTTAATCTAAATCAATCATTCATTCATAGAGCACTTGATCCACTCCACGGGGCGCTTAACGGTAAGTCACGTGGTCAGAAACGCGCCAATATTGGGACTATATTCTTAGTCTGTCTGTGTTAATCGGCGACAAATCTCCGCTGTGACAATATACATCTACTTTAAATGTTGCCCAATTCATTTCGGTGGAAGCGGATATTGAATAAAGCCATTTCACACACGTGTACATTACATGCGCATGTCATATATTTATACAATGTCCACGTTGTGTTACATGTAATTGTCGCCTTCACTCCGTTATTTTGAGTAGCCTACACTTTCTGAATGATTCCATTCTTTTGTACGAATGCATGACCACTTGGACCAACGAATAGACCACTCGGACGAAACAAAAAAGACTACTTGGACCATACAAAAGGACCACTTGGACCAATAATAAAGTGTTGTTTTAATACGTTTATATTTGTGTTTGTATTAATATGACTACTCGAATCAATAATAAAGTGTTGTTTTAATTGTTGTTTTAATAATTGATAATAGTGTTTGTTTTAGTATGCATATGTTTTCTTTGAAATAATAAAGTGTTATGTACTTACCCGTCGCATTGTTTCGTCATGAAGCACATCAAAGAAAACAATTAAATTGTTGATGTAATAAAGATATATATTTGCTAATATGTACTTACCGGCAGCGGATATTCTAAAGTTATGTATATACTCACCTATAAATTGTTCGCCTCTTTGTATTATGATACAATATGTTATCAATGATTAAAATCATTAATAACATAATAACATATTGTCTGTATTATATTTTTAAAATGTATAAGTCAAGCCTTATAGTGTAATTTAATTGGTCCGTGTGGTCCTTTGGGTTGGGCCGAATAGCAAGGATAAATATGGGTGCGATATTATGCAATATAGATGCAGGTTTGTTTTTTTTTTCTCCTTTTTTTTCTAACAATATTTATTCAATATTTACATATTATAAAGATACAATGTTCAATTATGGGATCTGAAAACAAGCCGTACAGTTATATAAATGCATTGTTTATAATTATAATCACGATTTACATACAGTTATAATTACAAAAGCAAATGCAGGTTCAATCAAGAAACTTGCGTGTTCACCGTCTAGTATAACTTTCGAGTTTCTGATATCTAGATTTTAAACGTAAACATATACATGTATGTATAAACTTATAGATTGCAGTTACACAGGGTACATGTATATGCAGTAGGAATTCGGGAAGTTGGACGTACAAAAGAATGGAAACATTCAGAAATTGTACTCAAAATAAGAAAATTATAACGAAGTGAAGGCGAGAATTACATGTAGGCCTAACACACTCGTGGACATTGTATAAATATATGACATGCGCATGTAATGTACACGTGTGTGAAATGGCTTTATTCTATATCTGCTTCCACCGAAATGAATTGGGCGACATTTAAAGTAGATGTAAATTGTCACGGCGGAGATTTGTCGACGATTAACACAGACTAAGAATATAGTCCCAATATTGGCGCGTTTCTGACCGCGTGACTAACCGTTAATCGCCCCGTGGAGTGGATCGTGTGCTCTATGAATGATTGATTTAGATTAACTGAAGCCTGTACATTATACATGTACACATTTTCACAGCAGCATTACTATATTACAACTCCTTCAATATAAACATTTCGTTAAAATCTGAACAACGCATGTGAAATTGGATGTTCGGCAACAGAATTGAATACCTGGCGTAATTGGACACCTTGACTAATTTTAATCACAACTCGGGAAATTGAACTGTCCAACTAATTATTGAACAGTCATGAAAATTAAGCGGGACGCTTATAATTACACATTTGTCGACAAACTAAACACTAATTAATTAACGCTTGGTAATCAAAATTGCACATTGAGATTTAAGTTGTATACAAGGACAAATTGAATGCTATTAGGCCAAATTCAATGATATTTATGAATAATTCTACATAGATTAGATAATAACGCTATTTACCCGAGATTCCACGGTACCAGTCGTATAGTGTATAGAGTTCACAATTTTTATCCGACTTTGTTAAAACTTAAAATGTAAGTTGATAACCCAAAGATCTTGATCTGTTTGATATTTGCGCATATCGGACCGTAACTTCCTGAATTATGGCTCCTGATTGTACGAAAAATCGCGTTTTTAGCTTGTGGACCCTATAGAGTTCATAATTTTTATCCGATTAAAAAAAAACTATTATTGTATCATAGTTACACCCTAAGGATGGCTGAGTTCGAATTTCGTGAAAATCGGCCCAAAACTGACAGATAAAATGGCCGCCCTTTGTTCTGAAATAGCGTAAAAATATGGTATCAAGGTCAGAATTTTTATCCCATTTTGTTAAAATTTGAAATGTAAGTTTTTTACCCAAAGATCTTGGTTCCTTTCAATATTCGCACATATTGGACCTTAACTTCCTGAATTATGGCCACTGATTGTACGAAAAATTGCGTTTTTAGCTTGTGGACCCTATAGAGGTCATAATTTTTATCCCATTTAAAAAAACGTATTATTATATCACCGTTACACTAATCAGCTGAACTAAAGATCAATCCCTGCTAAAAATTGAAATGATTGAATGTAAATCAGTTTATATACATTCATATTACATTATTATATGCATTGCAACCCATTTGTGTCAATTTCTACATCCCAAATATTAGCGACTTAGCTCCTTTGGTACGGGGAACATCCAAATTTCATTACAACTTTTTTTTCGAGAATGCTAACCTGTATCTTTATTAAAGTAACATGTTGTCAAGATTCTTGAATATATAATTTTGTTTCCTTATGAATGACATTGTAAGATTGAATGATACATGCCTTGTAAATATGTAAATTGTATTTTACAGTGGGAAACCATGTCCACCGTTTAAGATAGTTATATTAGATGAAGCAGATTCTATGACTGGTGCGGCACAGGTAACAAGTTTATCCTAACTTATTGAAAAATCCAAAAGTTTCATTCTCTTGATCACTGGAAATTCTTACTTTCTTGCATTTAATTTATTACGATTGTTAAGAAGTGTTAAAATTAGAATGATTGTGTCAATTGACATTGAAGAGTGAACATCAACAATTGTTTTCACTGCCGTATTTTTCAGTGTATTAGGCGCACTTTTTTTTACCAAATATATTTTTTCTTTCTAGAATAATAAATATAACGTTAAGCAAATCCAGGCTAACCTCCCTAGAATCAAGACATGTTGACTGGGTGACGCTGTGTCAAAAGCTTATGATATATTATCACTCAAATTAATACAATATTGTTCCCTTTCGTGTCCATTTATATTTGTCAATAATATATTAGATATGTTTAAAATGCCCCATATTTGTCAATAACCTTTTAGAGACGGTTAAATTATGTCAATAATTATCGCCCGTATTTCTGTTATTTCGTGCATTAAAAAGATGTCAGCATTTTCTGCTTCCGTGTATGGCATTCAGTTTGTCTTTGCGGGCAATGCAAACACCATTGGCCGGTAGCTGTTCAACATTAACAGTGTTTAAAAAATTAGCATACGTATCGTTAATATTTCTTGCTATTTCTACATCATATATTTCTGCTATTCCGTATACTCTTGACCATTACCGGCAGTCCTAACAGGTCCCTGTTCAAGGTCAGTCAAGTTGACGAATAGGGCGGGGCATGCATTCATAAAAGCATTTTCATTGGCTCAACAAATCATCAGTATCAAGGGTGGGATTACAGTTAAACTGAGATATATTGAAGTTCTTTAGTCTAACCTGTCATTGAAATGACAAATCTTCTTGACGTCTATCATTGACATAGTCAACCAATTCTTTCTCAATTTATGGATAACGTACGGCACTCCATCTATTCGCTTCTTTATTTGGTTTATGTGACTAAGTTCCCAAATCATACCCGTCTTGCGTTCGACTCGCCCAAATTAAATTCACAACACATGACACTGTTATCGTACTCTTTAGCAGTTCGTCTCTTCTGAATAAATCATTTTTTAAAATTTAATGGAAGGATCGTTGGTATTTTCTATACTTTGCTGTAAATTTTACATCTAGCCGTTTCGAGTTACCAATAGTTTTCATGCAACATAGATTCACTGATTGATCCATTGTTATAATTTACTGGTATCGTTAATTGTCTACCGGTGAGTTGTCACCGTATGCTTTATGAACTTGTTTGTAGTTCACAAAATCATGTTATTAAAAATGCTATTATGTTACTGATAGATCTAAATGGCTACAATCTAGGTATTGTCATGCCGCGTGTAGTGGACAGGGCAATGGACGCCATTGTTTGTCAGTTGTTTAGATAGTATAAATTTAACTAGAATTATTGTTACTCTTTTAACAATAGTCAGGATTAAAGTCATGTGTATCTGAAAATGATAAATCCTTTCTACAGTTATTATTTCATTTGTTTATCATCAATACCTATTCATTTATCACAGCCAATTGCTTGTGAATTTAACAGGATGTAATAGACGGCCATGTTTGTTGCGGGTGGGACTTTAACTACAATTCGACTGCCGTACGAGTGCCAGAATTACCATTTAAATTATGAAACAATGCAGTTTAAAGTTATAATTAATATTAAGTCTTATGCAATTCAAAAAATGTATATAGAGTTTTTTATTTCATAAAGAAATATATATAAGGCTTGATACGGCTAATTATCGGTAATTATTATAACTATGAACAGTAGAGTTTGGCCCAGTTACTGGTGATCACAGGTGTACTTAGTCACATATGGTATGGCACGTGTTTCACAAGGCGTTGGAGAAGGGTGCGTCTAAACCAGTGATGGGATTTCAAAATTTTTCTTGTTAGACATTTTTACTGAAAATAAATGGGCATAACTCTTATCATTATTTAAGCAGGCAGTTTCAGACCACAATTAAAAATCATGTCAACAAAATATTCAAATTCGTACGTAATAAAAAAAATAGTTGCACCTCATTATTTTTCATATTTAATTCCTGTACGGTATTCAAATTTGTGTCAGTAATATTCCTACAAAATTACGTGTTGTCGTAATACGATAGAATGGAAGCGCGCCGACTACTGTCGACTCGTACTTTTGTTCAAAATCACCACCAAAATTAACGTATTTTCCGGGGTATAAGTCGATACTTTTTTCAGCAGAAATCCGGCATTCGTCTTACACTACGTTTTGACTTCTATACAGATGGAGGTAAAACCAGCGGCTCACATTGATAGAGAACAAGCTAAGAAGAAAGTGATTTTTCCTACAATCAAGGGCCATAATTCAGGAAATTACAATTCGATATGCGCAAATATCTAAAGGAACTGAGATCTTTGTGTTATAAACTTACATTTCAAGTTTCAACAAAATCGGATAAAAATTGTGACCTATAGGGTCCACAACCTTGATATACCATATTTTTTAACGCTATTTGAGAACGAACGCCAGCCATTTTGTCTGTCATTTTTGAGCCGATTTGCATGAAATTCGAACTCTGCCGTCCTTGGGGTGTGACGGTGATATAATAATACGTTTTTTAAATCGGATAAAAATTATGACTTCTATAGGGTCCACAAGATAAAAAACGTGATTTTTTCGTACAATCAGGAGCCATAATTCAGGAAGTTACGGTCCGATATGCGCGGATATCGAAAGGAACTGAGATCTTTGGGTTAAAAACTTACATTTCAAGTTTCAACAAAATCGGATAAAAATTGTGACCTCTATAGGGTCCACAATTTTGATATACCATATTTTTGCGCTATTTGAGAACGAACGCCAGCCATTTTGTCTGTCAATTTTGGGCCTATTTTGTCGAAATTCGAACTCAGCCGTCCTTAGGGTGTAATGGTGATAAAATAATACGTATTTTTAAATCGGGTATGACCTCTATAGGGTCAACAAGCTAAAAACGCGATATTTCATACAATCATGGGCCATAATTCAGAAAGTTACAGTCCGATATGTGCGAATATTGAAAGGAACTGAGATCTTTGGGTTATAAACTTACATTTCAAGTTTCAACAAAATCGGATAAAAATTGTGACCTCTATAGGGTCCACAACCTTGATATACCATATTTTTACGCTATTTGAGAACGAACGGCGGCCATTTTGTCTGTAGGGTGTAACGGTGATATAATAATATGTTTTTTTAAATCAGATAAAAATTATGACCTCTATAGGGTTCACAAGCTAAAAACGTGATTTTTTTGTACAATCAGGGGCCATAATTCAAGAAGGAACCGAGATCTTTGGGTTATAAACATACATTTCAAGTTTCAACAAAATTTCAATTTTATGCCTATTTTGTCGAAATTCGAACTCAGCCGTCCTTAGGGTGTAATGGTGATAAAATAATACATATTTTTAAATCGGGTATGACCTCTATAGGGTCCACAAGCTAAAAACGTGACTTTTCGTACAAACAGGGGCCATAATCCATGAATTTTCGATCCGATACATGCCAATATCGAAAGCAGCCGAGATATTTTGGAGATAAACCTATATTTCAAGTTTCGTCAAAATCGGATAAGAATTGTGACCTTTAGAGTGTCCACAAACAAATTGTGGACGTCCGGACGGACAGGGGCGACGACAATATACGTCCACATTAAAATGTGGGCGTATAAAAAAAAAGACATCCCCAAATTTTTTTGGCAGTGATCGTCGCTCCACGATATCGAGCCAGTGACATCATCTGCTAAATAATAGCACTTGCACGCGCTATCATGTAAAACAATTAACTACTTACATGTACACTATTCCAATCGAAATATTTGTGGACATTTCTGAGCTTGTTCATTTCTTTTTTTTAAACATAAACCCCATTCAAAATATTATCATAAACCCGAGAATATGCCATCAAAATAGAATCTTTCCTCCGACTTGATAATTGTCACGATTACATCTTTTGTAGTTTCACACGTCTCGCAAGATTTCTACTTTAGTTTTTATACGCCCACATTGAAATGTGGTTGTATATTGTCATCACCCACGTCCGTCCGTCGGGCGTCCACAATTGCTTGTGGATGCTCTAGAGGCTAAAGTTAATATCCGATTGACTTTAAATTATACACAGTGTTTAAGGTCATGAGACGAAGAAGCCTATTGATTTTCAGCGATTTCCGATAATTACTGCCAGAGTTATGGCCCTTGATCACTTCAAAAAATCTTGTGGACGCTCTAGAGGCTAAAGTTAATATCCGATTTACTGAATATCCGCCTTTGCCATTAATGCTCCCTGACCCCTTTGCTTAACAATGGAGATGACGTCATCAATTGTATCATAGGAAACCGTGGTAAATTCTTCGGAAATATGGGCGTTAATCGAATTACCGTGAGGGAACGATAAATCGTGAATTAGCCTAAAGGCACCCTTCTCATGTTTTGGAACCACACCTAAGGGGGAACATATGAGATTTGACAAGGGGGAGACAGAAAGGGACCCATGACTCGGTTATTAGCTACCTCATGATTTATTTTCTGGTATAAAATGTCAAAATTATCAAAGCAGGAGGAGTGATTTTTGGTTACAGACAGTTGTCTAGTGCCTATATAGGGAATACGAAAGCCATTCGTAAAGCCTTCAACTAAAAAGGACCTGTCCTGGGGATCGTAGCCCTCTAATGCAACATTAAGATTAACAGGATTGACCGGAGTTGGCATTCTTGCTGAAGGAAAGACCACTTCTACGAAAGGAATAGCGGTTATTGACAGGAGGGACAGACGTGGCAGCTGCAGGTGGCGGAATAACAGGATGGTGTTTTACTGGGGGAGGCATGGTATACGCAGGTACGGGGGGGGGGGGGGGTACTGGCATTGGCTGTGAAAGAAATTGTCCTGTGGGGTCAGATCTATATGTATTTTGTGCCGATAAGCGTCTTACAGGACATAATAGGATGTTTGCAATGGCATAGTCGGCATACATTCGGGTACTTACATAGTGGTCTACCACAAGCCTTGCTGGAGTTGTAGTCGTAGCAGACCAATTTGGAAGGTGTGCGGGTGTAAGGGCGTACTTGAGACTCTGACCCAACATTTTTTGCGGCGTACACCGTTGACGCTTTCAGCCACAACTCTGAATGGATTTGATTCCAGGGTATAGGCAGGGTGGATCGCAGAGATCGAAGCTGGCTGTCATAAAACTGCACAGCCTTGAATCCAAATGACGAGTACAAGTCCATAACAGACGACATGTACGAAAATAGGCTAGAAGCCAAATGCGGGAAACGTTGGATGTAAACATCCATAAATATAAGAAAGGCTCGACGCCACTGCTCCAAACTAATCTGTTTTAGTTTTGGTACCGAGTATATACGGAAAGTTGACGTATCGTCACCCTCCATAATATTGAGTGACATTCCATTTGCCGTGGGGGGTTGGATGGCTGAATGGTTAGCGAGCGCGCGCTGTATCATAAAGTCTGTCATTGAGTCGACTGGCTTGGTTTCGAATCCCTGGTTGTACGTGACAAGGAGTAGGGTCGCCTGTCCAACCTCGTGGGTTTTCTCCGGGTCCTCCGGTTTCCTCCCACTGCTAAAGACCCCTACGCGCAAGCGAATTATTGAAATAAAATTAAACCATATGTTAGTCCCGAAATGACCTAGTTTGTGTCGAGTGGAAGTTAAACCCCATATCTCTCGCTTTCTCTCTCCATTTGCCGTGTAACCTGGAAAAAGTGTCGAAAATTCAATACACTTGTCAGACCAGATGTCGGACTTGATCTTGTCTGATATATGGCTGGAAATAGGAGCACATAAATTAGCTATGTTGGACATTGGTACCGCCTCGTTTGAATTACCTTGTCCTGGTGGGAATATGTCATTGGCCTGTATAGAAAATACAGACAGCCCTGTGTCTGTCGGTGGTGATGAGTCTTGCGGCGGTTCTGTTGGTTCAGGAACTGAGGTTGGGCAAGGAGCAGGGGGTGCTGATGGGGGTTGCTGGGACTATTTGGGCTTTCGGCACCAAACCATGTTGTAGTGTACCAGTTTCCTCATCAGGATGTCCGTTAGTCGATCTTCCGCTGTAGTCATGGATGGAGGGGACTCAGTCAGGTCATGTTCAGCGTCACTGGAGGGACATGGACTGGCTTTCCGTTTCGGCATGGTTCTGAAAAATGGAAACTAATGCTGATACCATAACGACATAATTGTTTTATCTTGCTCCAACAAGCAACATGTTAGAAAGCCAGCATGCACAGGCATTGTAATTTGCGACATGCAAAGCCAAGGTCCTGCACAGACCATTGTAATTTCGGAATAATTTGCAAAGAGCGAAGCCAAAGTCCTAATGGAAAAGCATCAATAATAGTGCAGTAAAGTCCGTACATAAAGCATAATTACAAGCAAAAGGTTCTTTTTGGAACAGCCCAGCAAGAGTCCCCTTTTGACAAAGAGTACAAGCCCTTTCGGAATACACAGCAAGAGTCCTTTCGGTATTGTAGCTAAAGTCCCTTCGGAATTACTTGCGACAAGCAAGGCAACACCTTTAGGGAAGGCACAATGTACTAAAGCAGCAATAAAATCATTATGGGGAGCACAATATATTGGCAAAGTCCCTTCGGAGGAACATGGCACCAGTCCTTTTGTAAAAGCAGCAAGCAAAATTCCTTTCGGAAAAGCAACATAGCAAAAGATCCTTTCGGAAAAACATAGCAAAAAGTCCTTTCGGAAAGCAGCATAGCAAAAGATCCTTTCGGAAAAACATAGCAAAAGATCCTTTCGGAAAAACATAGCAAAAAGTCGTTTCGGAAAAAGCCTAAATGTAAGGTTAACATTAGATTATTGGAAAAGTTAACAATAAACGTAGCAAAAGGTCCTTTCGGAAAAACATAGCAAAGATCCTTTTGGAAAAACATAGCAAAAAGTCAATTCGGAAAAAGCATAAATGTAAGGTTAACATTAGATTATTGGAAAAATTAACAATAAGTTGTTAGTAAATAATGCCGGTTTAACCATTGGTTAACCGGGTGGCAAGAGCAAGTAATTAGTCAGCTGTAAATGGTCAAGTTTATGTCGAATAACCAGCTTTTCCGGGCAACTCCTCTTCATCCGTGGTGAAATCTGTCGTTCATTGCAAAATGAATTACATGCACCGATAGTAATCACATCCCGTAAAACCGACACCAAAATCAAATTGCGGGTAACAGCAGTTGACACCATCTCATGTGCCGCAGCAAAACATTGCGAATACTTTTCATGAATAGCATAGCACCTCGGTTATCAGATAGATGAATTTCATCTGGGTCATACACATTACTAACTGGCTGGCAAAGGCCAGACCGATGCCTCCAAAAAGAAATGTTTGAGAAGGATTTACAGATATTCTTCAAGTGGCAATTTGTGTCATACACTCTTTGATTGTATTCGTCATCGACAACCAATTGGCGTTTTAGAAGTTGGGATATTATAACACATTTCGGAGCGTATGTTGCCAAAATGTCTTAACGCAAATTCCACAATGGAATTGGCCAAGAACTCCGGTAAAACCGTCACATCACACAAATCATTGGATCCCATATGAATGAAGACAATATCCACAAATAAAAAACGATCAAAATTTTTACAAAGCCGTTGAAAACGATCGTTCACAACACATAGACCGCGTCACTATTCTGCACTAAATGTCTGCTAAGCTTCTGATAAGATGAAAGTACACAAATTTCATTATGTCCATGTGATAATATGTATATATTCAATTCCATAGTCTGTAAACAGTTTTTACCACAGCTTGACTAACAGTACTATGATTGCATGCCCCCATTGTCACACAATCCACTAAATAGACTTCACCATAGACAGAAAACATTATGTTTAGTATACTGTGGTCACGTACATCAGTAGTTTCGTCCAATATTATTGCAATTAGCTTGTTAATAAATTTATCTACCAAAGATGTATGATGATCAGAAAAGAGTCGTGGTAAGTGTTGACTGTTGTGGAAGCGCGCCCCCCCCCCCCTTGTTTGCAATACTTTGAAATGAATGGCCTTATTCTTTCCAGTTTATTCAATGGAATGTCAGCTGTAACCATTGTTTTAAGAAAATCAAGAACAAATTCTTCTCGGATACATTTTGACGTTTGCTGTTTAGCAATAGTAGAAGTAATGGTGGTTTGTTTATTTCCTTGTGAGACGACGTCATTTTGCCGGCCACTCGCTGACTTTGTAGCTTGATGCTTTTTGGAATTGATGTGGTCCTTAATGGTATCGACTCTTCTAAAATCAACACTGTGACTACAAAAACGGCAAAACATGATTACCCCGTCTTCATAAAAGTCTGCAGGGAATTGCTGCGCCCTATTTACGGCAGAAAGGCTTACAACCCTGTGGGCGCGTTTCATTTTTTTAGCAGCCGACGCCATTATGATTTCCCTTGCCTGCTTGTTGTTGTCGAGATGTATCCAGACAAGCTTCGTAGTTTCTACGGGGATAAAGGCTGGATTCACTAGACTACGATATATTTGTGAAATCACGTGGTAAAAGCGGATAAACACGAGCCACGAGAGTCCGGCAGTAAAGAAGAAGTAAATAAAACGATTTTTACTTTTATAAATGACTATATCAAGATATAGATTACATTACAGAGTAATTGTATTATTAGGGATAAATGAAAGACAGGTTTTCATTTCGATTTCAAGTAAATTTATGATTCCAAAATGATGAAATGAAAGTAGCCTATATACTATTACTTTATTACTTAATACTAAAATAGTAATAAAACCACGCGATATCGTTCAATATTTTCGATTTTTTTCATGAATAGAAAGATAAAATACTTAGATAAATACAAAGTTTTGTTGAGTTTTTGTTTAATATCACCAAAAAATCGGCCTTTCCGTATTTTTCCGTGTGAGATTTCAAATTCCGTTTTGAGTGCCGAATTCTGCGATTTCTGCGTTTTTTCCGCGGAAAATCATCACCAGTACACTTTAACCAGTAAGCAGAGATAAGCAATTTAATTGGTTAATGCTTTTGGGCACGATAATTTTGGTTATAATGAAGTGAGAGCGATGAAATTCTGAGTATAGATTCATTATATCATTACCTTGATTGTGATGAGAATTTTCTACTTAGGCTAAGGAGCAATAAGCAATTTGATTGGTCAATACTTTGGAATATAACAACCCTGCTTTTAATTGAGGAATAATGTTTAATCTTGACTGAATTGTCTTGACTGAGTTCAATGATTAACATTTCCCGCTAAAGCTAAGCAGAGCTAAGCAATTTCTTTGATTTTGATTCTATCTGATAGAGAGTGATGAAACTTAGTTTATAGTTGATAATCAGTTTGATTTGCTCAATACTTTTGAAAAAGATAAACGTGCAATTAATTAATATGTGTCATCTATTTATTACGGGATTTCGGTGGGGGACATCAGCCTCACTGTTGGCTTGTATTCCTTTTAATTCATTGTGAAAATCTGATATTAAGTGGTTTAGGAAGAATGATACTGGTAGTCAGAGAACTCTATATATGAACATATACATAAACATTATATTAACTTTTTGGAATGAACCATTCTATTTATCTAAAATTGTGTATTTAAGGCTGCCTTGAGGAGAACAATGGAGAAACAGTCACGTACAACTAGATTTTGTTTAATATGCAATTATGTTAGTCGCATTATAGAACCAATCACATCAAGATGTGCCAAGTTTCGTTTTAAACCTCTTGCTCAGGACGTACTCAGTGATCGGTTAAAACTTATCAGTAAGAAAGAAAATATTACATTAAGTGATGAGGTAAGTTTTATAGATTTTAAATAGTATTTACTATTGTGTTAGAATGGGAGCCTCGGTGGCTAATTGAGTAAGACGCTGGCTCACTAGCCTGGAGGTCGCAGGTTTGATCCTGGTGTTGGCCAAGAAAGTTTATCGGGATTTTCCGGCGTGGTTTCCTCTTGTCAGTTAAGCAGGCTGGAGGGCCTGGCAAGGTCAGCTGTCTAGTTGTTTGGATGGGACAAAAATCTGAGGTCCCGTGTACACATTGACGTGCGCATAAAGATCCCTTGGCAGTTGGAATTCGATATAAGAGTAGACCGCAGTGTAGGGTTGGGTGATAATGAAAAAAAAAAAATATTATGATAATAACACTGTAACCTTGGTACCGTTTAATCTTGCGTTAATAGCGCTAATTTCTACTCGGTGTACAATTATTCATAAATATTGTTAAATTTCGGCTAATTGTGCTCAATTTGTACTTCTATCAAATTTGTACTTCTATCGAATTTAAATCTCACTGTTTAATTTTGATTACCAAGCGTCTAATTAACTAGTGTTTAGTTTCTCGACAGGTGTTGAATTATAAGCGTCCCGTCTAATTAGCAAGACTGTTCAATAATTAGTTGGACCGTTCAATTTCCCGAGCTGTGATTAAAAATTAGTCAAGGTGTCCAATTACACAAGGTGTTAAATTTTGTTGTCAAACATCTAATTTCACGTGCGATGTTAAGATATTATGATGTGTTTAGTTGTTGGTCCTTGTTCAGTTTTGCAGCACAATGTTGAAATACTGTATTAAGTGTTAGTTTTAGTACTGACCTGTTGCGATACGGTGAAATATTATTTTTCAAGATCACTACGGTGAAACAGATGTTGAATTTTTAATGGCGACGGGATGGTTCCGAAGCAAAGCTTTCTTGAGATGCACATACCGTTTCGTCCACAATCATAAAACGTGTATTTATATATCCATTTAAAACAGTATTTCCCGCACTGACAACACATCCACGAATGATAAATCTCACGCATCTGATTTACGTGTGTACACGTCGACTCCCTACCCTGATGAAATCCTTTTGTTTAAATGTCTTCGCAATTAAGACTAACAGCATGGATATTGCACCAATCATATATTAAATAATATGGGATCTATAGAAAGCATTTTGGGTTGAAGGGTAGTGCGATTATCTCGGGCAATAAACACAGAAGGCTTGTAAAATTAATACACATGTGTCAGAAGCTAACAATATGTCTATACTAAGACAAAACGTGAAAATAAACTAATAATTCGAACTCTTTATTTCATATGAAAGCTTATTGTTTCTGTTAAGATTATTATTAAGCTTTCATATTTCATATGAAAGCTTATTGTTTCTGTTAAGATTATTAGGGTTTCACACTGCGTAGCTTGTGTGAAACACTATTGTTTTTGTTAAAATTATTATTCTTATTATTATTCTTCTTCTTTTGTTTTGAGTAGATCTCAGCAACTACTTGTCGGATCGTTACGATTTCTTCGGTTTTACTGGAAAAGTGGGTGTGACTTAGAGGATAAAGCTATTTTGAACGTTCTGCAACAATGCGAAATGTCCGAAATCACCGAAGCTATCGTTTTTAGAAATATTGCAGTAATTTTAACAATAATCATAGGATTTTAACTTTCGATACATTTTGGCATAGCCGGAGACGGGGCACATAGCTACGCTACTTTTGATTTTTGATTTTCGGCAAATCTTCGCAGATATTAGGCGCCAAATTTCGAAAATTTAAATTTTTACAAAAAACTTTTTTATTTATAAATATTTTTTATTCGTGTTTTACGCAAAATTAACGAGTCATCTGACTTGAGCAAAAATCTGAATTTTTTTTGTCTCGGTAATTTTCCTTGGCCGCCATTGACTAATTCAGTTTTTCAGTCCTACATTAATTATTTATTGTTTGATTTGTTTAAAACAAAGTGCATATATGCTCCGTTGTCTCAATTGCCGTTTTTTTTGTTAACGATTGAGTTATCTGTCGGCACCGGAAGTGGCGTAATTTTACCAAAAACTACAATTTTGACAGTTAGGTACCACTTTTCAAAGCAAATATTATTTCTTTCAAATCTGGTATAACTGAAAGGGTGCGCCCTTTACAGGCGCACAAAATGTTGGGCCCAGTTTTTTTAATTCCGTTTTCGGGCTATTTCGATTAAAAGGTGATAAAAGGTGTAAAATTAAGCTATTTACAACCCATCCAGCATTTTCATATTTTAAAATATTACTTCGTAACTTTCATAAACTCGTAGCAATAATCTTTACGGAGAGAATGTATGTGAAAATTAATTTGTAATATGCGCAGTTGCCGAGAAATGGTCAATTTTGCATGAGTCACTCTTTACGCTATTGTGCCTGTAAAAGAGTCAATTATTATTGGATTTTCATAAAAGTGAAACTGTTTGATGCATAATGTCAATTGTGACTAGTTCAACTAAATTTAACATTTTCAATGTCACCGGAAATGACGAAATTTGGACAAAAACTGTATTTATAGCCTTCAAAACAAATAATTTATTCAAATGAGTTGTATTTGTTGTTTGTTTAAGATTTTGATATTTGATTCTAATCAACTAAAAGAATGAACCCATACGATCATATAGATATCACAAAATGGTTTCTAACTTGTTCAGTTGCGGAGAAATAGGTAATTTTCAACAGGTCACTTTTCAAGGTTTTTTGTCCATAAAAGTGTTGATTTTCATGAAATTTTCACTGTGTGATACCTAATGCCATTTACGATTTCATACAAGTAATTTAAGATTTTCATTATCACCGAAAGTAACGTCATTTTGGCAAAAACTGTATTTTTAGCCTTCAAAACATATTTTATTCAAATGAGTCTGATTTGTAATGTTTTTAAAATTATGATATTTGATTCCAATCAGCAAATAGATTGAACCCATACGATCATACAGATACCAGAAAATGGTTTCTAACTTGTACGGTTGCAGAGAAATAGACGATTTTCTACACGTCACTTTTCAAGGTTTTTGGTCTATAAAAGTGGCAATTATTATTCGATTTACATAAAATTTTCACCATGTGATGCCTTATGCCATTTCTGATTTCATAAAACTAATTGAACATTTTCATTATCACCGGACGTACTGTACACTTACATGTAACAAATGTATAAAATGAATTGATATTGCTGGATTTGGTTGATTCGGCATCCATTTTATTTGATGTGTGCAATGCTTATGTGGAAACCTGTTTAATGGTTTCATTGGTACCGGAAGTGACATGTTTAAGGTAACATGGCACCGGTGAAACCTGTCATTACTGCATCGCAGTTCTAGTTGCTCTTATTATTTTATTTTTTTTGTGTGTTTTATCCACAAATCGGATTTCTCAGAATCTAACCATAGGATTTTTTTGAAACTTTTACCTATCCCCCCAAAAATGGGTGGTGGCTGTTGATTAAATATATTTTCAAAACGTTTTACGAATTCGAAATCACCGAATTTTACGAACGAATGCATTTGACCTACAATGCTGTAACTTTGTGACTATTTGACCTATTTTACTAAATCTTTTTTCTTTGAGTACATTGGGACAATTACTTCAAATCTGCTATTTCGGATTTTCGAATTTCGAAAATTCGTAGCTGTGATTTCGAACCGGAAGTTGAAACCAACTTGACAACTTCTTTAATAGTTGCACGATTTTCATGAAATTGAGTATGTAAGTAGAACTTACCGATGCGACTTGAAAGATGTCATTAGAAATTTTCTAAATTATCTCCCCTTGATGAAATTAAGGATCAAATTTTTCCAAAAAATCGACGAAATATATTTCAGATTGCCTTGAAATTATTTTTCTTTACTAGCTACGACACAAAAAATAGAGTTTGTGGCCCAAACCGGAAGTGCCACCATCTTGAAATTTGAAATATCGCTAAGGCTTTTTTGATATTTTACTTACAGACAAGGGAATTATATTTTCCGAATCCTTGAAGAAAAGCCCATAAATTGTAGGAATTACAATTTTGATTTTTGGCAAATGATGGACGCCATTTTGAATTGAAAATGAAAAATTGTGAAAAATCCACATTAATGGCCTTTAAAACATCCACAATTGGTCGTGGCTTAAAGAATCTTTCTCCTATTACCGGTGGTAATTATTTCATTGCATTGTGCACAAACGTCATTCCTTAAATAGCCCCACGCCCCTTTAACAACTTATAAAGCATGATTTTCTGTTAGGCAATTTATTCTACACTGTTTGATGTGCTTTATAACTATTGAAGAGGCTCGAATTCATAAGATCTGGTTGTTAGATGTGTTTACTCTGTGTGTTGATGGATAAAACAATCAGAATTAATATTTGTGTCTGATAATTATTTGAAACGGAACGTTTTTTTTAATTAGGATATTAGTGTCTATGGCATGAATATGGTAAGCAGTTTGTATTTGGTATTTACAAGTTGAAAGGGTGTGAGTTAACCACTTCAAAAGCAAACTCGTACACGGTTAAGGTAATACTTGACTTAAGGTAATACTTGTCTCGTATATAAATTGATTAGAATAAATCAGTTTTACTCATTGGTTGTTTATATTGTTTTATTTACCTAATAATCAACTAGCTTGGCTCGCCATAACGACAGAGATTAGTTCACCGATGTTTTTGTAATAAAGAACAATAGTATTGTTTGTTGATTAGCATTATGATTTTGGACAAAATGATAAGTTCACCAATATTTTTGTAATAAAGTAGACCCGTATTGTTTGTTGATTGACTTTATCTTATGATTTAAAAAAAATGGCGATGGTTAATATTGGGTCAAGAATAATTCCTTAAAGTGCGCCAGAGCCCCTTTTAGATAAACAAAGTGGCTACGTGCAATTTTATCCTTTAATCATTCATACACGGGCCATTTCTGTTATACAAACCAATCTGCACGTGAATGACTACATAAGTTGACAGTTCAGTTCATCATTGATTTGGGGTTCATGTGGAATAGGCTCTTCGGTCGAAATACAG